TCTCTCTCTCTCAAATAAATAAATAAAATCTTTTAAAAAAAATAACTTTAAATAAAACCAAGTCCCAGATCCCTGAAACAATTCTACAAGGTCACATAAAGAGAGAAGGATTGTTATTCATGTACATGTCTCAGAGCTTAGGGAGGTATGGGAAGGTAAGTGGTAAATAGACGACTTTGACTGGTGAGACAAAATAAGGCATTTTTAATAAGAACCAAGGATGAAGTTAGGGAAGCAGAAGGACCCAATGATGGGAGAGTTTGGTTTTTTTTCTTAAGATTTTATTTATTTATTTGACAGAGAGAGACACAAGCAGGGGGAGGGGAGAGGGAGAAGCAGGCTTCCCGTGGAGCAGGGAGCCCAATGTGGGACTCGATCCCAGGACCCTGAGGTCATGACCTGAGCCGAAGGCAGACGCTTAACGACTGAGCCACCCAGGCGCCTGATGGGAGAGTTTTGAGAAAAGAGTTCAGGTCTGGCCAAATCCAGTGCAGATTCTGCCTTTGGCAAGTGTCCTGCATACACAGGACATCCTTCCTCCTTTTGTTTGCCTGCTCAATCCCTTGGTCCTTTACAACTGAGTTCAAACCCTCTCTTCTGTAGGAACCCCCACAGCTATGTTCCTGCATAAGCTATATACTCCTTTATTATTACACTTATCGATACTTTACTTCAGCAATCCTTAGAAGGAGAGCAGACTGTGTCCTGTTCATCCTTTTATGCCTGACAGCTAACCTAAGTGCCTACAATACAGCAGGTGTTCAGTGCATGTTTGTTGAATGAATGTCCACATGAATAAATGCTGTAAGTAATAGAGTAGTACTGAGGAGAGTGAAAGCATGAGAAAAAAGATTCTGACGCTCAACCAGAGAGCTGCTGTCTGAACTTGATCCTGGGCCTAACTGCTTAGGAAGCAACTATCAGCACCACCAAATATAGTTCTTGCCCTTCCCGAATGAAAAACAGACAACGGCTGTTTGTGGCAATAATAACAGGTCATTAATGTTATTAACATCATCTCATACAATAGGCTTATTAAAAGACACTAATTTACATTCTAAAATTATAAAATAAAATGCAAAGGAAAAGGACAACCCTGTTCTGTTTTCTCATATTCCAACTCCTCCATTGCACACATAAAAGTTCGGTCTGTTATTACCCTTTAAACAAAATGAAACAAAAAAGCCTGGATGCAATTGAATAACTTAAGCACAAGCAGCCGTGTCTCAAAGGTCTTACTGAATATAAAACACAGTGGGGTTTTTTTTTTTTCTTTTGGCCTAATAAGAGGATTGTAGGTGAAAATAAATAGAGAATTTCTAAACCTTAAAAAAGAAAAACAGCAATTCAGGATGTGAAGAGATCTCGTGAAGAGACTCCATAATATATAAGTATATTTCTAAATACAGTGGAAGCAAAACAAATCAGGAGGTAAGAACATCAGGCTCACTATGCAATAATAAAGTCTAAAATGATCTTATTAGGAACTAAAGGGCCGGAAAATTCAAAGCTCTATTGACAAACTGACAAAACATACCTAGATAAAGGATTGCTACACTCCCTTTGGAGCATTTTAAAAGTGAAAACGTCCCCAATTGTTCAGCATCCTCATCATCCTCATCCACAGGGTCAGTAGCCTCGTAGTCGGGGCGGCTGTGCCCAGGGCTAGCAGAGCAGGCTGGGGCCACTCGGGGCCCTCTCTCCCGGCATTCCTGGAAACTGTTGCTGCCCAAGAGGCAGCAAGAGCTCCTTCAGGGCTGCATGTCTCCTCCTCGGCTACACCAGAGCTGATTCTTTACCTCATATCCTGCAGAGGCAATGTAGGACTGTGATGTTAACTGTGCGCTCCAAGGGACCTGCAAATTTAGCTTCTCTAAGGCTCAATTTCCTTGTTTGTAAAATTAGGTGGTTAGTGGCATTTCTCTCGTGGAGCTATTGTGAGGATCACACAAAGTAATGATGTGTCTGGCCAGAGACGACGCTCAATGTTAGACTGTCCCCTTCCTGTCGCTCCTGAGCTCCTGTAATCTTGTCTTTTCCTCATCCTTTCTTCTGCTCCCTGACTCCTTATAAATATTTAATGGCTCGATCTCCTTTGAGTTCCTCTTCTATTTATTTCAAAATTCCAAAGGAAGATTTAAAAAAAAAAAACCTTATTTGTATGAAACTGAATAATTGTACTACAGAGGCCCACATATGTGCTACACTTTGTAGATGAGGAGTCAAGAGCCGGCTAGTACCTGCATGTATATCTACGGACTTCGGATGTAATTAATGCTTCACATGAGCTGAAAGACTTAAATGGTACAAACAGTTTCACGCGTTACTTCACAAATCACAGACTTCAGAACAATTTATATATAAATACCGTTTGATTAAAAAAGAAAAAAAGGCAATTTCAACTTCTCTTTGGCCACAAGTAAAACTGTTATGATTTAGTGACACCATGTGGCTACATTTTGCTTTGCAGTCTTAAGAAGAAAATGTTCCTCTGAATGCAGGGTTGCTCTATGCTAGTTCAATTATGACATCAAAGTTGTAGGTAGGGATACAATTCAAACTAAGTATGAATGAAAATGATTACTTTTTTAAAGTGAAACTATTCCTTTTTCCTTTATATCTGAATAAGGCATTTCTTGAATTCTGAAGACGACAATCACATAAAGAAAGTAAAGGCTCAGCATAATTCTAGCTACAATTCTAAAGCATCCTGGTCAACCAATGAATAATGTAAAAGTGCCTTCCTTTAAAAGTAAATAAATATATCAATGCCCAGTTATGGGGGCAGGGGAGATCAAGAGAGAAAAGAAAGACACACAGCTTTTGTACAATGTGAATATGGTTGGGAAAGAATGCTTCCATAAATAGCAGTGTTTATTTTCTCATTTGTTTTATGTCCTGTAGATCTACAGCACTGTGTAGGTACTATAATCTAATGAAGATGGGTAAAAAAAAATTATACTGCTCTAATGATGGCAGGGATGAGGATGGACCTGGAATGTATGGTAGCAATAAAAGAGATTAAAGTGCCCTATACCAAAACACAGTACAGTTTTAGTATTCATCTAATGAGGCCTCTTACAGTAGACCCATTACTCCTGATTAACAGTCAATGTACACCGAAAAAAGGCTAAATATCTAAAACAATGACCAGAAAATATCACTCCTTTCACCTCAGTCAAAAATACCATCTCCCCTCTCGGGCCTTCCCGGACCACCTATTGCAAATATCTCCCCTCAACACCCACACATGCCTTCCCCTGAACCCAGTCCCTATCACAGTACCATCTTTACAACACTTAAAACGATTTGATATGTTCTTCTTACTTGTTGAGATTGGTTCCTCCCAGATTCCATGACAGCAGAAACCGTGTTAGTCTTCTTCAGGTGTTGTGTCCTGGGTATCAAGTACAGCATAGCACAAAGTAGGAACTTATTTTGGAATGAGTGAGTGATGAATGAATGAACAACAGATGAATAAATGAAGAAAATCTATTTCCTTAGCTGGTGAAGCATGCCTAAATTTCTTGTTGTACGTGAGAGTAGAACCATGCTAGTGAGATGTTTATCATCATTTATGGCCTCTAATGCGACCACTGAGACCAGAAGACAGGCTGGCAGATGCTCTATAACACCCTTCCTTTTCTCCATGACACATTTGGCACATTATAATATCTCATTCTAAGAAAAGAAAAAAAGGAGGGAAGGGAAACTACAATAATTAAAACACTTTCAGCTATAGGCAAAGAAATCAGTTAAACAGAGTAGAGTATATGCTAGAATTTAGTGTATGATAAATATGACTATTCACGTTCCTGTGGTAAGTAACAATTATTAAATAGTCCTCATCAACTGACTATCCTTACCTAAAAACACACACAAAAAATGTTCTGGCTGAATTAAACATCTAGATATAAAGATGAAAATAACAAAGAGTAGAAAAAACTTATAAAAATATAACATTCTTTAATGTTGGGGTGAGAAACACCTTTCTAAACATGATTGCAAACCACCAGAGATGAAAAAAAAAAAAAATTAAGAGACTGGACTACATTTTTTAAAAAGTAAAATTCTATATGGCAAAAAGTACCAGTAAAACAGTAAAAACTAAAAACAAGTTGCACAATACATGACAGGCAAAAAGATGGTATATATATATATCAGTATATCAAAATAAAGTTCTGATAAGACAGAAAAAGGTAACTGCCTCAGAATAAAAATATGCAGAAGATAAAAATAGGCTTTTCATAAATGAGAAAGAACAAATGGCCATTATTAAATAATACTGTACCTCACTGATGATAAAAGAAATCTAAATTAAGATTTTTTTTTTTTTTAAACAAATCATAGCTCACATTGGCAGTGTTGACAAGCCTGCAGTGGTTAAGGGCTCAGAGACAGAGCATTTTCATGTGCTATTGGTAGAAACTGGATACAACTTTACCAGAGGATAAGCTTTACCGATATTTAAAATATGTCCTACATTATAATTTGATAATAAAAAGGTCATGAACAAGACATTTCCATTGTGGTACTTAAAAACAAAATGAAAGGCAGAAGCCCGGTCTTGCTTGAACTGTGGCCATCCCTCCAGGGCCTTCTCTGGCCTCTCTTCAGTAACTGCCCCTTCGGACTCCGCTCTCCTGTCTCTGCCCAGCCCCTGCAGCAAAGGCGTTTGCTGTCTACTCTTTTCTTCCCTCTTTCAACAGGCTGCGCTTTCAGGTGCTATTCCTTCCCTCAACTCCTGGGTTTTGCCCCAGAAACACTTGTGATTCCAGCTACCAGCCACCTGCAGGCTCTGAAATCCACCTCTACCTCTCACACCCACGTTTTCAAGTCTTCTCCTATTTCGGCAACATTATATGGCTGCCAAATTACCAGCACCCTGTTGAGAAACAGCCAGAAAGTGTTTTAAAACACCTCAGGGCACTCCATATTTGCCACTCCTTATTAGTATTTTTTGTTCAGCCCTGGGCTCTGGCATCCAGGAAAGCCGTGGAAGGGCTTGAAGAGAGCTTCCTACATAGCCAAGAAGACAATGTAAAGCTGAAGCAGAAATGGCCTTTTCCTGAGAAAGAGAAAGCTGGTGAGACAGAACACGGTTCTGAGAGCATATGAAAGACCATACTAATAACATGGACAAGTCCCTTTTCTTCATCCCCAGGAAGGAGCTGAGCGGGGGGAGTTATTAGTCTAGGCTTTTGGCCACACAGAGCAGTCCCACTTAACCTACAACGCATTCCTAAACAGGACCCAGGAGGACAGAGCAGATCATTTCTGTCCGTTCACCATTACGGTTGGAGCAATCACTCTGGCTTTGAAGCCTGACGTTATCCTATCTATTGCCACTAGATAATGTCCACTACTTAGTGAGGTGAAGAGCGGACTGAATTGCATCCCACAGATATATAAATGGCAAACTGTATGCCATATATATTTTGCTACAATAAAAAAAAATGCTTTACCAAAATGAAAATACATTAAAACTGTTGGGAACACACCACTGGGCAGGTTATCAAGATGGAGCAAACCGTTTAAGGCATGTTTTGGACTGCTGTGTATGGACTGGCAATCTGGAAACGTGTCGGGGAGACTAGGCTCCTGAGGTCAGGAACAATTTCCTCACAGTGAGTACCACCACGGCCAGAGAGGATGGCAAAAATGGCTCTTTTTCTCTGAAGGTCAAACACCAGTTGAGAGTCTCAAAATTTAGGAAAAAAAAATAATAAAAACAATTTTAAAATAATAAAAATAATAAAAACAAACAAACAAACAAAATAAAAGCCACTAGTGACTGAGCCTCTACTTTGGGCCAGGCCCTGTAGTCCATGTTTGCACACATGCTATGTCATCTAAACCCTCCACAGCAGACTCATAAATGGTGTTGTTATTCCTGTTTTTTACTGGTATAGAAGCACGGGCTTGGAGAGGCACAACTTTACTAAGATCACCAGGCCAGGATTTGATGAAATCAGAGAGTGAGAAGAGCTCTATCTAACTCCATAGCCCATGTTTTTTTGTTTGTTTTTGTTTTTTTTACTACACAGTGCTAATTTACATGCAATCCAGCCAAGACTCAGAGAGAGGTAGGTAATCTCACACTCCCCAACTCACAGTGTCTCTCTTCTTTTGTGAATATATTTGATGTAATCTTTCCTCAATACATGATACTCATATCTTTCAGGATTCACATCAAAATTCAGTTTCCTCATGAAAATATAGAAAGTTACATTTGTAAACCACGTACCGAGACCTTTCTAGCAGTGATACACATTTTAACAAATACATGGATAAAAAGTACCAATGAATATATATACATATTAATGCTGAATCCATCTCTCCTCATTATACAGTTAGTGCCTTGACCCCATGAAACCTGTGCTAACATTTAGAGTACTTACTGCATACTAGATCATAGCCTGAGTATCACGCAAGAATACTAAAAGATCACAATCCATACTCCTTACTTCCAAGAAGTTTTAATTTTAGTATCAGAGGCAAGACAAATACTCAAAGGATACTGAAAAACAAAGGTGACATACAAATGTGCAACTTAACTAAATAAGGCAAAGTGAAAGAATTTATATGTGCCCGGTGAAGTCCCTGGAAAATGTGTATTTAGAACATTATTTAGATAGTCAATAAATGATTGTGAAGATAAGAAACACCAAGTATAGGGGCTCCTGGGTTGTCAGTTGGGTGACCAACTCCTGGTTTCGGCTCAGGTCATGATCTCAGGGTCATGGGATCCAGCCTTGTATTGGGCTTTGTGCTCAGCACAGAGTCGGCTTGAGACTTTCTCTCCCTCTCCCTTTGCCCCTCCCCCCTGCTCTCTCTCTCTCTCTCTCTCGCTCTCTCTCTCTCTCTCTTGCTAATAAATCAATCAATCAATCAATCAATCAATCTTACAAAAAGAAAAGAAACACCAAGTATAAGACACCCTTGGATAATCAACGGAGACTTTTCTTAGGTTCATTTTTAAATATTACCCAAATCCCAACCTATTACAAAAGGCAGAGTTTATAAAGGAATGTAGTAATATATGTTAACATGGTTATAAATCTTTTTAATTTTATTTCTTAACTAATATGGATATCAAGACTCTTTCCTTTTCCTGTTGTCACTATCTCTAGCATCACCTTTGCTCAATTCTTCTTGACCACAGTTGGGGACTGGCTGTACCAAGATAAAAACCAGCATTATGAGCACAGCCAATCTCTGTAACCCATAAAAGTTACATCAACAAAAGCAAGGCCACACAGAAGAAACAAAATAACAAATGGGAGTATAAATAAATAATGCCCATTAATAAGGAAGGGGAAGTATATTTTGTAAAAGCCAGAGATCATGACCGAGGGCACACATCTCCCTCTCTGTGCGGCAGGAGTTTTCAAGTGGGTAAAGCTCACAGACTCTGTCATGGCTAGTATTCTATTCATGATGATTTGTTCTGGGAGTCATGTTCCTCTTGTTTCAAATTAAATGCAAACACACAGTCCTTCAGTCCACATCAGATGCTTTGGTTGCTATGCTGCTTATTTTTTAATCCAATACAACCATAATAACCTGAGTCAATGCAGACTCAATCTCCTCCTCCAAGTTGGGGCCCCTCTGTCACTCTCAAAATATCCCTAGGCAGCTCTGAGATACAAAACCTTCACTCAATTTCTTGTCCCTCTCATTTTAATCCATTCAAAACTCCTCTGATAAAAGAGCAACTGCCAGACCTGCAACACTTTAGTCTCTCTTTGGGGAAATGAAATTGATTTTCTTCATTTTCACACAAGAGGATCCCTGGGTAACAATATTGTGTCCAGTCATACCCATAATAATAATAAAAAAAAAATGTAGGCAACATTCTTTATTGTACCAGAACGCTGAAAGGTTTTATGGAGTTCCTTTGGTGGAGGTAAGAATTCAGCCTGATGCTGTTAGATCATAAGTTTACTAAGTATAAGGGTGTCTTCTGACCGAGAGAGTAAGTGCTATGGGGCATCCCCACCTGTTCCAAATCAGCCACAGTGGGAGGTCAGCTGGGGTTATGGATGAGGGTGGGGACAGAAGGGGGTAAGAGGCCAGATCCACATTGTCCCTGGTTTACACCCACCATACACCTTTCCTTCACCTCTTGCCACACCGGACTAAATGAACCAATCATGTTCTGCCTTTGATCTTTTGACTTTAAGGTAAGGAATACCTGAGGGCAATTTCCAAGGGGAAAATTACAACAGAAAAAAAAAAAAAAAAACCAGCAGAATTTCAGGGGCCTCTGTCTACCTTTCCCAACTCTCAAATTCATTAATTGTACGGGTTTTATAGAATTTCAGAAAGTTTAAAAGATGGCTTAAACCTAAAGGAACAGTATGAAATATCAGAACAGTAGCTCATCAACACTTTTTAAAAACAACCTTCCATGGGGCTACAATGCATAAAAACAATAAAAGCTAAAGTGCTCTGGCTGAAGGGAGGCTGTGAGCCTGGAGCCCCACCAGCTCAACCTCCCCTGCTCCAAACCCAACCCACTAGACACACTTGTTCTGTCAAACTCTGCTGATAAGCACTGACCTAGGAAAAGAACACAGATATTCAGAACGTGCACACTAACATCCAAAAATCTCCTCCTGGCCCTGAGGACTACCGGGGAAGCCTCCAGAAATATCTCCCGTGGCTTTTGTGGGAAGAACGCAGCCCCTAACAATCACTCTGCTTTCAGTGTCTAGCATGGAGCTTAAAGAGCATCTCCACTTCTCCTGTGTTCTCTGTCCCTTCTTGTTCACTGCATGTCTTCTGCATAAGTATGGCACAAAACACTGTGGATAAACAGTTCCACAGTATACTCTAGAATTAAGATGCTTCATTTTCCATATTTTCCCTAAGTTTTTTAGTTGGGATGCATCTGGTAGCTGATATCCTGAAAAAGTCTTCTTCTTTGAGACAAAAAAAATGTAGCCCGTTTCTCAAGGTTCACATCTCCTTAAATAAACATCAAAATCATTAATTAGCCAGGAGAACTAACCTGCAGACACGGGCTGGAAAATACAACTTTTGCCAAGAACGACACAGATACTGTGAATGATCAATCACTCTGATCCAATCAAGTTCATCCATTGATACTTCAATGAAGTATGAATAAGACCTATGAATCAAAAGGAAAAACAGAGAAAAAAGCACCATATTAAAATAACAAAACCAAGTTATACTTTAATAAAATGTTAAAAGATACAAAAAAATTACACACTGTTCGCTAATTACATTTTCTCCATAGCAATCAAATTATTATCAGCACTTTCTGCATAACAATCAAATGCTGATACTAATAAAATCTGTATAGATCCCGCTATCACAGCATGCCCCACAATGTACTGAAATGACCTCTCTGCATGTTTGTATGCCTTATTAGATCACAAGCTGCTTAAGAACAAGGAGCATGCCATAGTTATCTTCATCTATTCAGGGCCTAGCACCCTGTTTGGCTCATATCCGACATGCAAGATAATTTGTTCCTTTTCAAACAGAGCCAGGATGCCTTGCTTCTGCTGTACCAGCAGATTCAAGCCATGACAGAGAGAGGACAGAAAATTGAGAAGTCTGAGGTGTGACTTCTTCTACCTTCCCTAGTCTGGGTGCTCAGCCCTATTCTCTCAGGACAGCCAACTCAGAATGGTTCCCCGGAAAGGCCAGCTTATCTCCTGCTCTCTCCCAGTCTCCCACCATCCCACACAAATATGCAGCCTGAAGAAAAATAAATGACATGGGTGAAGAGATAATGCGCGTTTCTTTTGGGTACAACATAGAATTTGGCAGCTAATAATCTGGCAGTAATGAAAATAGCCTATCATCCTCCCCTAGTCAGCTACCCTAGACCATTAGATGCTGGTCCCATACTGAACAAATCTATATTCCCCTGTCAAAGCCAAATTTAAATTTGAGATGCAGTTATTACTTGTACTGTAATATCAACAGGAACAATCTTAGAAGATTTAGGTGACCATAAATGTCAGCCTGCAACCAACAGTTGTGACCAGAAAAGGTCAGCTTATTTTGTGTCATCCCGTCATTTTCTGCTGTCCCCTCACTCCCATTCATTTTATCGCTCAGTCTCAAACTGGTTATAACCTTTTATTGAACCTCTCTGGGTTATCAGTAATGCAGGATATAATTTTACAACACATGTCAGAATATTTTGGGCTTAAGATTCCGAATTTTTCACCTTTGCTTAGAATGATAACTTCTGTGAGAAAAGAATTGCTACGTGGTCAAGTTAAGTCCCCCATGAATGTAATGCACGCACTAAAACAAAGTGGCCTGTAAGTATTTAACATCATGGAAATGATAACTACTTTCAGTCTCATACTAACCTTTTCTTTTATTATCTTTATACTAATTTCAGTATTAATTAAATGAGTGAATATATGTAAAGCTTTGAGAACAGAACCCACCACATAAAAGTAATGAAAGTGCTATATAAGTATTATTGTTACACTGTTATTAATCCAGAGACTTTTGGAAATGATATGTGAATTAGCTCCATTTTGCCAACTAAACTTCATATTATATCCAACAAGAAACATATCAGGAAATATATTCTTTTTTTTTTTCTAAGATTTTATTTATTTATTTGAGAGAGAGCACAAACCGGGAAGAGAGGCAGAGGGAGAGGGAGAAGCAGACTCCCCGCTGAGCAGGGAGCCCGACATAGGGCTCGATCCCAGGAACCTGGGATCATGACCTGAGCCAAAGGCATATGCTTAACCGACCAAGCCACCCAGGTGCCCCTAGGAAATATATTCTTAATAAAGGAGAAACAGATAAAGATAACCTGGGCACCTCGAACACTCATCTCTATGGGAAATGCCGACTCCCACTTTGTGAAGTTTCCCTCATATTTGGTTCAAATGGCCTAAAAGGCCCAAGTGGTGGCCTGTGGTGCCAAGAGAAATGAATTACCATGCAAAGGTATCATCACCATTACTACTATGTTCTCCATGAGCAGACTCAAAGAGGCATGAGTAGGGCCTAAGAGACTCTATACCACTTTCTGTGTATGTAGGGTTTAGGTTAATGATGGGCAGTGATGAGAGAGACAGTTCTTGGTCACCCAACTGCTCTGGTACTTCTGAGCATCACGGATGAAACCCAGAAACTATGGTGGGTGAAAGTGTCAGAGGTGCATCAAGGAAGGCAGAATCTTGAACCTGCTACAAAACTGGGTGGTTTCAAGGCTGGAGCCCACCAAATATTTTTCACAAACTTCCTTTGTTTTGAGGATGATTATTTATCCACACACTAAAAGACAATTTTTTTCTTCAATCATAGGATAAAATGCATTTAAAAAGTTATAATATTCAAAAGTAAAGAATCAAGTAAATAAATAATGGTAACCCAGAAGGTGGAATACCAAACAACCATTAACAGTAGTATTTTAGAGGACTATTTTAAAGAGTAGAATGTTCACAGTGTATTAATTACAAAGTGAAGTTAACCTTTACACATTTCATTTTTATTTTGTAAAACTATGTGTGGTTTTACAGGTTTCTGTTTTGTGTATGTGTATGTGTGTGTGACTAGTTAAATATATACAAAGTTATATAGATATATACTAGTTAGACATACATACTTGATATTGATATATACAAAGATTATTAATGGCCAGTGAGATTACTAACGATTTCTACTTTCTTCTTGGTGCTTTTCTATATTTTCTACGTTTTCCATGATAAACACATATTCATTACTTTTATAAGCAGAAAAAAAGCAAAAAACATTTCTTTAAAAGGAATATAGCCTTTAACTCTTCCCCCAGAACTAAACTTCAAGAGAAATAGTGAAACAATCCCAAGGAAATAAACCACCAAATTTGTAAAACCAAAATTAGGCTGACTCAATCAAACATAATGTCATTTTCTGTCCAAGTCATGCTAATCACTCACCGGCTATCTCGGTCCCACAGGAGTATCCGTATGTGATTGATGATAGATGGCTGACCTAGCTTAATCTCAATGCCAGAACGGCAGTCATCATCAATTGGGTGCCTAGAAAATCCATGATCCAAATCGTAATTTTGAGTATCGCCATCTAACAAGGCGGACTTCAGCTCCCCTTTCACAACCTGGGCTCCATACTTCATGGTTGCAATATTTTCTTCTGGGACTACAATTAAAAACAGAAAAAGCAAGGGCAATGGTTACTTGGTAAATTATTCTATATTGTGGGCAAAAAGACAAAATTCTAGCATTCTAGTTGATTCTACCATGTGCATTTCATTTAAAAATGGCAGAGACAAGTCTGTGGAGATAGAAGATGTGAAATGTCTATGAGGATTAAGATACCACCCACAGTTTACATTTAATGACACCACCAAAGCCACAGAGTGCCTAAGAGTAATGTTACTAAGAAAAAGTTGGTAATACTAGGAAAAAAAATGTACTAGGACAAACAAATCAGCTCTGAGTTCACTCTATTAGTAGCTTAATTTAATATCTACTGGACAAAACTGGCATAGAAGATGACATGTATCTGCCATTTGGACTGAGGGCAACACATAAAAGCAAAGCAGACAGACCAGATATCTGATAAAAGAACAGAAGACGCATTCCAATACAGCAGAGCTGCTGGACATGGACCATACACAGACATGCTGAAGCAGTTAATCTAGCTTGATCATCATCTAGCTAAAAAAACAGTAACATGTGTAAAAGAAGGTATATTTGCACTTCACCTGAGCATTTTTAAAATGAAAATTCAGCCTGTCATTCAAAATCAGTATTATGGTTATAATTAAACCCTCTCCCACACTAGATTTATTAAGTGTCAGTTGTTCCTGGAACTCTGAAGTCCTCTATGCAAAGCTTGCTTCACAGATATGGAGCCTGTCCTCTAGGTGCCAACGTTCTAACTGACACTCTCCATGGAGAGACAGGAGGCAGCATAAAGTAGATGTGAAGAGCTTGAGCTTCAGAGTCAGAGTTCAAATAGTGGCTACACCTCTAACCAGGCGAATCACTTTGGGGAAGTCATCTTCTCTGAACTTCAGTCTCTCCAAGAGGGCAATACCTAGACATGGGTGTTTTTCTTGTTGGAAGGATTAAATGAGATGATGTTTGCAAAGCACATAGTAAGCTCTAAAAAAAATTATCAGAATTATTATAAAACATATACTAAAAAACACACAATAATAAGAGAACTAAGCAAGTTTATAGACTATAAATAAATGCTGAATTCTCACAGTACATATACATCTTGTCTATGTGATTTAAATAGGGGAAAGTGTGAGCTATAATTAGGCTCTTAGGGAAAGGGGGTAAGTAATTCATCACTGCATATTTCTTCAAAAATGTGGGTTTAAAAAAAATTTTTAGGGGTGCCTGAGTGGCTCAGTTGGTTAAGTGTCTGACTCTTGATTTTGGCTCAGGTCATGATCTCAGGGTCGTGAGATTGAGCCCCATGTCAGGCTCCTCGCTGGGCATGGAGCCTGCTTAGGATTCTCTCTCTCCCTCTACCTCTGCCCCTCCCTCCCCCCTGCTTGCACACGCTCTCTCTCAAAAAAGAAAAAAAAATTAATTAAAAACATTTTTTGAACAAAGCCAGGTAAAGGGAATGACTCCAGAAGATGACAATAAATGCAGCTGACAAATGGGGGCCGGGGTGGGTCTATTTAACTTGCAAAAGGGTAAGGCAATTCAGAAAAAAAAGCAAAATGAAACCTAGTCATGTTCAACCTCTGTTGTGCTTAAGTGATACAGGTTTATAACTTCCTGAGTTCTATTAGTTCATGGTAATCATACATATTCTTCATATTTATTTCCCATTTAACAAACCTTATTAATTCCTTTGATTCACTCCTCAAAATAACCCTTTGAGTGAAATACTATTACATGTCCATTTCACAGATAAGGAAGTAGGGGCAGAGAAAGGCTGGATGAACTTTGGTGCCTAAGGTCACACAGCCAGCCAGTAACAGAGCTGTGATTAGAACCTAGCAGTCTGCCTCCAGGAGCCCTGCCTGCCACCTCCGTCATAAGGGTTTCTGACGAGAAGACCATATTTTACGCCCTCTCTAATCCCTTCCCTGTAAGGTCGCCTGAGACTCAGAGGGAAAAAACAGAGTCTGATATAGTTTAAAATCAAACAAAGTTGTATTTGAAGTGAGAAGACCTACGTCTGAGACTCAGGCTCTACCACCCACTGCCCCTGACTGAGGCCTCTCAGTCTCTGAATCTGTTTTCTCATCTACAAATAACGCTGTGTCCAACCCACCCACTGCGTTACTGTAAAGATCATACTACACATAATATATGCTATGGTACCCTGTAAGTATAAAGCATTCAGTCAAAAACACGTGGAGGAATCAGTCTGTACCAGGTACCATGGGAATACCTCAGAGAGTGAGACACAGATGGGCCCTGCCCTCCTGATGTCTCCAATCTAGAGATGAAGCACTTCATAAGGCAAGCAAAAAAAATTTCCAATTGACACTTTTCAGTGTCAGGAATGTGTAACCCTTGGTAAACAGAGATCTTTGTTCCCTTATTGCTAGGTGGTATACAATGTGGGGGTCTGAAGTCTGTCGCTGCTGACCACTGGTAGCATCTCCACTAGTTTTCACACCACTAGTCAAGACCATGCTGAAAAGGGGGGAGTTCAAGCTTTCGAATTTAGAAAGTGCTGCTACCCTTTGATTTTCTCTAAACATAAGCTTCTTCATCTCTAAAATTTATCAAGCTTGGAATAACACACAGGCACAAGGATTTCAAGTGACTGTAACTAAAAGTCTAAAATGGAAATGAAATTGCTACCACAAGTCTAAAGTCTTCTTTTGAAGTTTATTTCAAGAGTGCTTGAGAACTTTTCTAACTATTCTTGATACAGATTCCCCGAAAGTACCTTTTACTTTAAAATGGGAAACATTTACACAAGTGGAAATTCTCTCATGGTGAATATAATCTGAGTATCTCATGGGATAAAAATACAACTCCAAGTATTTGTGTGTGTGCGTGTGCACGTGCAAAACCTAAGTTAAATTTAAGAAGAATTTAAGAAAAAAAAGTGATCATGAGATAATTCAAGTCATAATAAAACAACTCAAACCATAAATATTCTTACTGCCTATATCTATCAGTAGAGAAAAGAGCTCTCAAAAAAATATAGGGTGCTGGGATTAGACAACATAGCAGATAACAACACTTTTCTTTACATTTGTAATTTCGGATGCATTTTACAAACATGAAAAAAAATTAAGCATTTAAGTTCCATAGCTAGGCAGAAACAAGCCAATTATTCGAAAGGAAAGCTGCGGAGAAATGGAGTAGGACCTGCCGCCAGCGACGCAGTGCCAAAATCTGAGCAGTGCTCAGCTAATTATCTTGTGTTTTCCTTTAATTGTGCTATGTTCTTAATCACCCTTTGTTGAACTATCTACTACACCTAGGCTGAGACAGTTGTCCACTCCTGACGGGTCATTTGGAGCCACACTTGGTTCTCTGCCCACCGCAATCTCTTTACCTAATTCTGCACCCCAAATCACCTTGTACTCCCCAACCTGACTTCCCTGAAAGATGTGTGGCTTCTCCCTTCCAGCAAATGTGGCATGACAAAGGGCTTTCTTGACAGCTCCTGTCTTCCCTAACTCTCCCCATTATCTCCACTCTCCGCAGGCCTCCTTTCCACATTTGATAGTACTGGTGCTCAAACACACCAAACACAAAACAGCAACAGAAAATAACCCAGGCAGGAGACTCTATAGAAGAACACTGTCTGTGTGAATCAGATCAGCACTTTGGTTCTGGCTCAGGCATCGATTTCACTCAGTTACTTTAGGCAAGTTACTTATAAAGATCACAGAATGAAAACTTCTAAGAGCTGAATGGGACCTTCATTCTATGTATTTAGAGAAAAAACAGTTCCTAAGCTGCCTTCTGTGTGCTGGACGGTGCTGGACTCAGCCCTCCAGCAGCTCATCATCTCATACAGACAAGTATGTATCAGACATAAAATGCCTCCACAGATGAGGACTCAGGAGGGATTCTTTGTGAATCCCCTAGTTTACCCACGAAGATCTATCAACTATAGTTGGGAAGATAAATAACATATATGTCAAAGAGTTTTAAAAATATTGAAGTTTCAGGGGCGCCTGGGTGGCTCAGTTGGTTGAGTGGCTGACTCTTGGTTTTGGCTCAGGTCCTGAGATCAAGCCCCACGTCAGGCTTTGTCCTCAGCCTCCCGGCTCACTCTCTGCCTCTGCCCCTGCCCCACTCATACTCTCTGTCTCTCTCCCTCTCAAATAAATAAATAAAATCTTAAAAACAAAACAAAACAAAAGAATCTTTAGAGTGGAAGCTGTGATATGCTCCTTGCTATAAACATGAAGAAACAATACTGTCCTCTTTCCCAAAGTCTAAAATCTGAGACACACAAAACAAAGTATAACTCAGCCTGAACAGAAAAAAAACTAACTTTCAAGGCAGAAATGCCTCCATAGTTAAGATAAAACTAAGCATTAAGGGAACGGTCTGATTGCAAATTGTTCAAATACCCTAAGGAAAAAAATAATTTCATTAAAAATTAATTCCTTTCCCCAGGTGTACGTACAAAACTAGTCAAAACCACCTTCCCAGAAAGACTAACCATCACTGGTAAGTTAAGCCATCCTTTGGATCCTCTTTTTTTTTTTTTAAAGGAGGAAAAAAATTATTGTAATTTGGTTAAAATCCTCAGGATATGCAGCTCTAAGAGTTGAACCTTCCAGTAACCAATATTAATAAACTCAAAGAAACAGTATCTGTGTTGCCCCTAATCCAGAATAGAACCTCTCCATAGTTCACGTAAAGTCCCAAAGACACAGAAGCTACACCCAGGGGAGAACAAAGAAACAAACAAACAAATTTGGTCAACAGTTTCAAAATAACTGTAACTATCTTTCCAGAAGAGTCCAGGAAGATGTCTGAAATTTTAGACCATGTTTTCCTAACAGTGAAGAAATGTGATAAAAGAAAATAATGGTATGTTTGGGTAACATTTACTTAGAGAATAACTAACCTATCTTTTTAGGAGCTGATAGGGAAGTCATAAGCATCCTTAGTATTGATATTATGGATTTTGCTATCCATATAGTTAAAAAGTCAGAAAACCAGCCTGCTATTTCATCATTTCTCAAAGTTAGAAGTTAGATAAAAGATTTCCAGACATTTGTATAATCTCTTCCTCGAGATCCCACTGAATTATCCCAAAATGAGTAATTTAACATTTATGAGTAATAATTACAGTAAATCTATCAACCCAGAACTGAGTGTGCTCAGCTGTTTGATTACTCCCTTTCATGGTAATCTCACGGCTTTATTATAACCCAGGTGTGACACCTCCAATGACTAGCTGGTCAATTCTAAGCTACCACTAACTACATGAAGTGTCAAAAGCATGTCCTCACTCCTGCAAAAATGTCCCAAGCCTATCTCTATAATGAATCCAGTTATAGGGCCCTATCAACACTTCAAATCAAAGTTAGGGCAAGAAGGGAGAAAAAGAAACTTATATGAGTGGGTCCAACAATGAGGACTTAGAAATTCTAAAATTACGTCACTCATCTTGTTACCTCTCCCCCTTCCATCCTCCCACCCTCTATCTAAGGCTGACCTTCTCCTAGGACCACTCTCTAGCACCTCCAGTCTCCTCCCAGATCTCTCTCAAGCTGTTCCCTCTAGCTGCCATACTATTTTTCTACTGCCTTTCACTCCAGTTCACACACTGGATGGTCAACATATTATATTTACTATCTTTTTAAACCCATGCCTAATTCCCCATTTAGCCAAGCTTCTGCCCAGACTACTCACCAACCGACCACAATTTATATCCCCAAGTTTTCTCTCAATTCTCATTCTTCTGATTTCCCAGCATCACTAGATACCAGCGACCACCCTCTCCATATAAAAGTTCTCTCCTCTGTTGGCTTCTATAACCCTACCCCATTTTCTCCCTACCTCTCTAATTCTTCTTTCTCTACCTTCAGCCCCCTGGCTACTGGTCTTCTCCAAGTCTCAGACTTTTACTTCGTTCTCTACACTCTACCCCAGGTCTCAACTCTTTCTTCACCAGCTCTGACTGCTTTCTAAGCACCAATAACATGCTTCCACTGCTATCAGACATTTCTCCGTGCATTCATTCACAGCATCTATACAGCATCTTAAATGTTGAGGATACAAAGATCAACAGACCTTACAAAGATCATCTCTGCCTTCAGACCAAAGACAAGTTAATAAAAATGTTTAAAACAATGTGATCAATGTGATAATTCCTATACAGACATAGAGAGATGAGGAAGAACACAAATAATGATAATATAACAACGGTTTCCTAGACTGAGTTCACAGACATTATTTGCACACATTATTTCAACCAATTCTCATAACAATATGGAAACAACAGGAAATGTAGGACTAACAGTAAAACTCCTATGTAACTTAATACCAGGTTATACAATTAATAAGTGACTCATTCAGGATTTGAAGTCATACTTGTCTGGCTCCAAAACCAATACTTTTTCTTCTATGCCCAATGAAAAGAAATCTAAATCTGATGAGTCACGAGAGAAGCCCAGACTAAGGACACCGATTTAAGACCAATCAGTATTCAAGAGAATGTCTGAACACGGTCAAGGAAAAGATCACTCAGGGAAATGACTAACATGGGACAGAACTTGGTACTTAGATGTTCCAGAAACCCTAAAACTCAGTAAGTCTAAAATCAAGTTCAGCATCTTCAGAGAACTACTAAATTTCATTAATGCTAAGACACATGTTTTTTTTTCAAATTTTAACATTTCTGAAATTGGTATATAGACATGATGGTGTGTCATGGTTTAAATGGCAATACTGTTTCCTTTCTTAGTGGTACATAAAAGAGTGGCACCTCAGAACTTCTGGTTTCTTAGATTTGATAAAATAAGGTAACTTCCTCCTAAACTTAATCCTCAAATTTAAATCCCTTAAACCACCAAGATCTAATTTTTTAGAATAATATCTCCTTTATACATACATACTTTCCCTTTTCCCTACCGCCACTCTAGTTTACGGTTGTATCAACCTCATGCAGGTCAACACCCTCCTCGCTGGTCTCCCTGAACTGGTTTTCCCTATTCTAGATCATCAAGTACAGCACCATGGATCAAACTTTCAAAACCATCATCGTACTCATGCATCTCTCCCTCTCGAAAATTCTCATTGTGCATAAGCAAAATCCCAAGCTAGTTTGAAAGACTTCCACAATTTTGCCTGAACTGACCTTTATAGACGTCGATGTTTATGAATGCAAGCCTTCTGCTCTAGTCCACCTCTTCTGTTCCTGATCCTTCAAATGCTCTACCTTGTCTGTCAAACGTAACCAGTCCTCCCATCAGAACACACTCCACCCGATGCCACTCATATCCAAGGTCAGGATTCACTTCAGGCTTCATAATCTCCATGAAATCTCCCTCAATCCTTCTAAGCCATATCCTCTTCCGAAATTCACAGCACGTGCTCACCTTTGACATGGTTGTACTTAACTTTTCATGGGAGTATATGTCTTATTTCCGCAAGGATATTAAAAGGATCAAAGGTGGAGACTATATTTTGCATTTGCCCATCATAACTTAGTGGTTCATTACACAGCTGACCTAAACAGGTCTGCCTCTCCTCTCCGCATCTTTCTGTGTGATGCTGGGCAAGTTACCTCTCTGTGCTTCAGTTTCCTCATTTGTAAAATGGAGACAATAATGGTACCAACTTCAAAAGGCTGTTTTAAGAATTAAATGATCATGTAGAACTGTTATTGATACATATAAGCACTTTATAAGCACTTCATAATTGCTATTATTTTTATTAATAAGATCACGTAAGTGTTGGAAATGTAACACAAGTGTTAGCTATTATTATTATTTAGACTCTCCATGTTCACAGTACCTAAAATTATAATAAGTACATAGCATATACTCAGTGCTGATTTGATGGAGAAGGTCTTAGCATGAGAAGAAGCTTTTCAGGAAGTGTCTATTTCTGATTTTCTAGGGAACAGCTGAAGAAATCTGTCCAGGAATGGCAAGAAATACCTACTTGGGAGTCTACAAAGGCTCAACAATCTCTGGGGGAATCAAGAGGAGAATAAGAGGAAGCAGAGCTACATGTTCTTAGACCCACACATACCACATATACCTGCAACTAGAGTTTTGTAGCTCATTTTGTAGCTGAGACTGTCAGACGAGGGAGAAAACATCTTCATGAGATGAGGATAAACAGGTACTCACTGAGCATGCCTCTGTAATTGAGGTCCATATCCCGGCTCTCTGATCGAACTTTAATCGCATCCAGAATGGCATCGGGAGACAATAGTCCTGAAGGCCTCACAACGTTCAGAAGTTCAGTGAGGCTCATCAGAGGCAAACGCACAGCCTGCATGATTTCAGCATGATTCTCCTTTGAATTGTGCTTACACCAATTTAACAAGGCTAGGAAAATATCCTTCTCTGGGGCTGCAAATGAATCTCTTAATACGATGTTTAAAAGTGCTGTCTGAAAAGGATAAAAAAAAAATTCCAGTCATTACGGAGCTCAGCCATGTGCATGATTAATCAGCAAAACCTCACAGAACTGTGAGGATCACTTATATCTCAACAACTCTCTTCGACCATCTTCTTTCTTTAATCTTTGTGCCATGTACTCTCTTGCCCGTCACGGCTCCATGAACAGCCATGGGAATCTAGTACCACTACATCAAATGTCTAGTCTTTCCCACACATGTGCACCTATCTTCAATAAAACAAGAAGAAAAATGGCAATACGAGGAGCTGTCATTCCATGCAGGCTCTCCAGGAGAGCTTACATTTATAAGTCAGTAAGATACATCTGGCATTTAAAATTTGAAATCTTTTGTTCCACGGTATTATTGCACTCCCATATTTCTGGTTCTCAGATTTCCAGACTGACCTCCAGCAACACTGGGGTAACCCTCAAAGACCTTGCCTCCAAAAAATTAAGTAGGATAGTAAAAATCATAGTTTACACTCAGGCCAAAATATGTAGCTTTTCAAATAGGTTTTCTCATTTGAAATATTCAGGTCCTCAGAAGAACATAAAGAGGGAAAGGAGAGACCGGGGTTCAGAGAAAGATTTGGGCAAAATGGTCTATTTTTTTGAGCCAGGAAAAAAAAAAAAAAAGCAGTGACTTAAAACATCCAATGACACCTCAGATCTCCTTTATGAATTTTCCCTCCACAATAAGGAGTTATTAGTTGCACCTCTCTGTTGGAGAGATGCAAAATCAAAAAACAGTATGCAACACCACAAAGGAACTTGACAGGCATCACTTGGAAAACACCACTCTGCATAGAACCTACCAGAAGAATCTTAAAAAAGAAAACAAAAGCAATTTGTCTCTCTTTTATATGATCTACATAGAGTCTCAGCAGCCGGAGGCAGGTGGCTAGACAGATGACCTCTTCCAGACCGATGGTTTTTATTTTTTTATTCTTAGTCTATGGCTCTCTTCCTACTGCACGGATCTAAGTAACGCGCCGCATGCCTGTAAAGTACTTGCAGATGTCGACACACCTTAGAAAGGGAGAGGAAGCCTTCACTGGAGAGCACCTCCTGAGCATTTCTGTCCATAAACATGCAGCACATGCAAGTTAACTTGGGAAGCGAGTAGAGGCTGGCAACATCAAAAGTCATGCAGACATTCTGAATGTTAAGTATGGTGCAGAGATACTCAGAGGTAGAATCCTCCAGCTCTGGAAATCCATATTTATGAGCCAGGCTCAAAAAGTCCAGCAACACCTCCTCCTTCTCATCTGTCAGTGTTGCCCGCCCCGTGTAGATGTACTTAAGCAGCATCGTGAACGCTTCTGCAGTGGTGTCTCGGAGAGGGATTTCTGCTTCGGGCTGAGATTCTCGCATTCCACCATACAGTAATGCTCTGCACGTCAGAGAAGAAGTGCATGAGGAAAACCTCAAATAAGAGTTGCTACAATATTATGAAATCATGCTTATCAGCATCTTGCAAACATAAATTTGTTTAATGACACAAAGATTCAGGTGAAGAAATGCATAGTAATCATTTTAAATAGTTCTCTAAAGAAAGAAAAATAATTTATAAACTATTTTGGATTAATTCTATAAACAACTGGACTAATGAAATATCCTGAGAGCTCAAATATGTAATAAACATTCATTAAGCAGAAAGATCAAAGTGCTCTTTTGAAAGAAACAGTGAAACCCATATAAACATATTAAAGGTCAATAGGTGGTTTAAAAAGTAAAACTCTGTAGGAAAAGATATAATCAGATAAAAACGATTATACCCAATCAGGTGCCATTCTCCCCTGTCAGACTGGCAGAAATTAAAAATCCTGTTAACTATTCAGTACTACAAAGGCAATGGAATAACAGGTTCCCTCATGCACCACTTTGAGCCCATAAATAGGCACCCCTTTGGGGAAAGTAATTTAAGTAATTTCTATTCAAATCTAAAATGGGCATACCCTTCAACTTAGTAATTTCACTGTTAGGACTCAATTCTAGAGAAATAATACAGCAAAGTAAAGATATATGTATAAGAATATATAGTGAGGGCGCCTGGGTGGCTCAGTTGGTTAGGCGACTGCCTTCGGCTCAGGTCATGATCCTGGAGTCCCAGGATTGAGTCCCGCATCGGGCTCCCTGCTCGGCAGGGAGTCTGCTTCTCCCTCTGACCCTCCCCCTCTCGTGCTCTCTCTATCTCATTCTCTCTCTCAAATAA